TGTTGGTCAGTCAGATCTACACCACCTATTTTGTGGTTGTAGCCTATGATACATGTCGGCTTGTACACACGGATACCTCCCCGGTCAAGCTTTCCAGTGTCTGTAGTCTCAGCAGAATGTTTTGTTGACAGAAGTCTTTAGTAGCCTTGTACTTTATGGCAAGAATGTTTAGAGTATTACAATAAAATATAGATTGACCCTTGTCGATGTCGTTGTCTTTCAATGTTGCAGGAAACATTTTTCTTGTTGTTGTTGGTTTACATGTACCACATATTATATGTGTCTCGGTTCAATAGCCATAATGACAGAGCTGGATATGTGTAGTAGTTATCAAGCCATATAATTCGTCCATTGTCGAGATAACGATTACACTGTACTTTTTTTGCTGTTGGATAATTTGGGAAAATCCGGTAGAGCCATTCCGCAGTAGATAAGGCAATCCAGTGTATAACCACTGATATATATGTGATATCGTTTCGGTTTGATTCGTGCTGCGGTGAAGCTTGAAGGCAACGTCAGACTTGTCTCTGTGTCTCGTGCGATGTAAGTCGTTGACGATGGAGATCACAGAAAAGCCAACACGTCTTTATGGTAATTAACAGATGAGATGATATTTTATTCTACTCAGAGGCTACTGATGCAGACTAGTGTAGTACTGCCTGAGAAACTGTAAACTTTGTAAGAACTTTGTAAAACTTGTAAACTTCGTAAGAACCTCATAAGACCTGGTAAACTTGTCTCTCTGACGCTCTGCATGCTATTTTATACTCCCACAAACAAATCAGCCCTTCCCCATGCCTGAACATAGGTCAGACACTTGATTTCTTCTGTTTGTTGATTCGTTAACTAAATTATTTCTACATGGTACATTATGAGTATGACGTAGTTATGGTGTACTGGACTGTGCTGCCATGATGGCGACTAGTGGGAATCTACTAAACTAAAAGATATCTATTTCTTTGGTGTAATGACCTCGCGAAGCCCCATATATAGAAAAATATTATAGAAACTGCGAAATGTTGTTTGTGTTTTTTGTTAATTATAATTAGTTCGCATATTCTTGTTTGCATAAACAAACATATCCCCTACGAAACAAGGTATCTATAAGCATAAAAAGTAAACAGAATCACTATTGAGCGATATCTCGCGAACGAGTTGATCGAGTTACATTTCTAGAAATATAGATACGTGTAGACACATGTATTAGCTATGATCTCTCTGAGTCTTGAGTTTATTGAAATGCTGTAAATTACATGTTATTGTAGATAGCCTACATGTGAATATTTTGGATTAGGTGAGATGGGATTACAACAACTCCCATTTAGTTCCGTATTAGTTCTAGAACAAGAGTAGACAAATACACACATTATATACACATATATATATACACTCGTGTTATTATCTAGTCTTGCTCTAGAACTATAGCCATCCGCTCCGCCGCAGTCCGCGCGTCTGCAGGCTCCAGTCTACAGTCTATAGTCTGGAGGCTGCAGGCTCCGTTTTATGATGCGATCGGTTTGTTATGATTATTTTGATCAACATATCAGAACAAATCAAACATATTTATACCTAACTTTAAGAGCTACTGAATTCTTCTAACCCAATATATAAGTTTTGTTCGATATCTGTTGATATAATCGAATAAATAGCCCGATACTATCTAGGTACTATAACCGCGAGTCGCCGAAGTTTACAACCACCGGCGATCGGTTTGTTATGATTATTTTGATCAACATATCAGAACAAATCAAACATATTTATACCTAACTTTAAGAGCTACTGATAGTACTATCATTATTCTAACCCAATATATAAGTTTTGTTCGATATCTGTTGATATAATCGAATAAATAGCCCGATATTTCTAGGTACTATAACCGCGAGTCGCCCAAGTTTACAACCACCGGCGATCGGTTTGTAATGACTAATACTAATACATACAAAAACGGTACCTGTTGCTAAAAATCTCAATGTGACAGAAAGCCTTTGAATTGGCTTGATGCTGGTCCGCATTTGCGTATCTTGGCGAGTTATATAAGGTGTTATAATTCGCAAGATATCCTGGAAATCTTCCCGGTTCAGACGGTGGAATTGCCAGAATCTCTCAGGGTCTTCTGTGTCCAATTCCCGGAGGA